ACAGCATGTATGTTGGCCATAGCTGTCTGAAAATGTCATGATTTCTTAACCAGATTGTGGTAACAGTATTTCTCGTAGATATGAAATGTGAGATTCTGTCGCAGAGAAATCATGCACCTTCCTTGTGTTCAGTCAGAATATATTCCATTTCCTTTTACCTATTTTTTCTCAGAAGTCACACAATATTGCACTTCGGTGAATATATTGGAAGACAGTCACCAAGATCAAACTTCATCCAAAATCTGAATCGTAGGGCATTGCATCCTCCAGACATGAGCTTGTTGAGAATTCGTGTTGTTAACAGGGGTATGCATATAACAAACGTGAGAAATTGTTTGAACACATTCTCATCAATGTCAGGCATGTGGGAAAACATCTTCAGAATTAAACCTTAAATATTTTAAGAAATTCAACAACTAAAATCTCTATTTTATTATTAATTATAATGTGCATTTACAGAGACTTTGGACTTCCATTTATTCATTCATTGCTGCACTTTTCTCCCTTCCCCCCCGCCCCCAATACACTCTTCTCTTTGAAAACTGAAAGAAAAATTCTTTCACTGTTTTACAATCCCTCTCCCCAGGTTCACTCCACTATGCAGCCTTCGTTCTGGACTCCTGCCATGACAATGATACCTAATTAGACATCCCTTTTAAACAGTTTTCTCCCTCATCTGTTTCAGTGCAGTATACATTATTGAACCCATCTTTCTCAGTCTCTCCCCAACCGCGATGTCAGCCCCATTCTACAACAGTGGCACCATGCAGTATTTGTCCTTTTGTGACTGAGATTTATCACTTATTATAATGTCCTCCAGGGTCACCCATTTTGAATAATATGGCATGAGTTCCTTGTTTTTCAATGCAGTGTAGTATTCCTTTGTGTGACTACACCACAGCTTCTCTATCCATTCATTTGTTTATGGGCACTTGGGTTGTTTCCACTCCTTGCTATTGTGTACAAAGCTGAGATAAGCATGGGTGTGCATAAATCTGATTGGGTATCAGTTATGGTCTCTTTGGTGTGTATTCCCAGTAGTGGAATTGCTGGGTCAAATGGTATCTCTATTGGCAACTTTTTGAGAAAGCGCCCTTACTGCCTTGCATAGTGGTTGCACCATTTTACACTCCCACCAATAGTGGATAAGGGTTCCAGTTTCTCTACAACCTCGCCAACATTTGTTGTTTGCTGTTCTGTTAAATGTTGCTAGAATATCACATGATTTTATTACATGATAAAGGAAAACTAAAGTGACTGAATTGATGACTGATCAAGGATGTGGCAAGAAGAGAGGCTTTGCTTTTCCAATGTTTTCTAACCAGGACAGTGTAGATTACATCATTTTTCTACAGTACCGCACTGTGTCCTACTCAGATGATGCCTTTGAGCTGTGGTGCTGGAGAAGAGTATTGAGGGTGCCATGGACTGCTAGGAAAACAAACAGATTCATCCTGGAAAGAGTTAAACTGGGCGGCTCCTTGGAGGCAAGGATTCTGAGGCTCCATCTAACATACTTTGGACATGTTGTAAGGAGAGACCAGTCCTTGGAGCGGGACATCATGCTTGGTAGGGTGGAGGGACAGCGCAGGAGGGGAAGGCCCTCTATGATGTGACTGGGGTAATGGGGATGGGAGTGTCAGAGACAGTGCGATTGGCGCAGGACAGAACAGGGTTTAGAGCTGTTGTACATAGGGTCGCTATGAGTCGCAAATGACTCGATGACACACAACAACAACAAACAACCACCACCGTACTGTGAATAGTGACAGGTGTGGAAAAAAAGCCTGTCAAAGCAAGAGATGGCCTCTTCCAGTCCAAGAGGTTCCAGTGGTTCTGGAAACTGTGTTTTTCGCCATGTAAATAGTTTTGGAGGCAATGACAACTTTGATCACAGAAAGTTTTTGTAGAGAGCCACTTTTGACCCTCCTGACTTAAGGTCTAAGTTGCTTTAAACTGCTCACTAAATGCTATTCCATGAAGGCCTGCCTGGCATGTCTAGAGATAAGTTCAGCTCAGAATCTCTACCCAGTCTCAAGGAAAACTGCTTCTTTCTATAGCTCAGTGTTTGTAATTCAAGGTCTTAGGGAGTGTTCCTCATTCCTGCAGTATACTGATATCTTGAGGCTGAGTTTCCACAGTAACCCAGCCTACATAATATACCTAGGGAAATTCCTATAAAAGCCAGAAAATCTTTAATAAAGTGGGACTTGATCAGGAATCCATCTTGTCCCCATTCTTTATGCCACTTGTCCCTTTTCAGCCCCACTCCCCCTCCTTTAGGCTCTACGTTGACTTCCCCACTGGCCGGGGCATGTTGGCACCCAATGTGGGGCTAAGGCACGGGGGAATTTCTGTGAGGGAAGCCGCTTGAAAGAGATAGAAGGAACGGCAGGTCGCTACAGATTAAGAGGTTGCCGGTAAAACACCGGACTCGTGGAATAAAAGAATCTCAGAGGTAAGTCAGCGGCTATAATGGGACAAGCAATTAGTATAGAGGAAAAATTTATAGAGGGTCTAGAGGGTCTAAAGGACTCATTTAGGGCGTGAGGAATAAGGGTTAGGAAAAAGGATTTAGCTCACTTCCTTTCTTTTCTTAAGGACGTATGTCCCTGGCTCCCCCAAGAAGGGACTATAAATGAAAGGAGGTGGAAAAAAGGGAGTAATGCTTTAACTGATTATTATCTAGTATTTAGTTCTGAAAAAGTTTCCTGTTACTGCTTTACTGGAATCTTATTAATGAAATCCTAGCTGTTAGATATTTTCATAATAATATCAAAGATGGGGGAGCTCTGGTGGCCTAGTGGTAAGGAGCTGCAACTACAATCCCAGAGTCACACGGTTCGAATCCACCAGATGCTTTGCCAGGGAAGGAGGGACAATCTCCTCCTGTACCAGTCAGATCTGATTTGACAGTACACTCCCACAAAAACAAGAAAAGAAAAAAAATAATAATATCAAAGATATAGTGGAGGAAGGAGAAAGGTTTCTTAAGGAAGAACTCAGGAAAAGCCATTTTTCCCTTAACTCTGATCGTGGAAACACTCATAAACCTCTCCTTAATGAAGTAAACTCCCCCCCCCCCAGGATAAGGAGTCTGTCTCCATTATAATGCCTCCTAGAGATGAGGACATTAGCCCAGATATTCCTACTCAAAGCTGTGCCTCCTTAAAACCTGATCCCGCAGACAAACCTCCACTTGGAGAGCCCAGCATCCCCAGACCGATGTATACTTCTTTGAAAATTTATCATTCAGAGATAAATCATGACAATAATTATTTAACCCCTGAAGAGGAAGCTGACTTTAAGGGCGAGGGGGCTAAGTATCATAGCCTTGACTGGTCACCTCCTCTGCCTCTTGCATAAGGGCCGCCTCCTTACAACTCTTTGCCGCCTCTGTCTGACCTTGCTTTTAATCTCCCGCGGAGCTATTCGTTCATGTTACCAGGTGCTAGTGATCCAAGTTTAGAAATTAAGAACCACAAATAGGCTATTCAGCTTAAAAAGGAGCATTTCCATGCCGTAACAGGCACTGGTGCCACCTTGTCATGCTTCACTCCTGGAGAACAAAGGAAAGTTTCCACCTAAACTAAAAAAGCCTCTTCTCCTCAAGTA